AGGATTAGAAATAATGAACTATGAAGGCATAAGACTTGGGTGGATCTTACGAGCATTGTGCTGGGCAAAAAGTCATATAATGTATGATTTCAACAATTTTGTCATTTCAGAAATGTTACAAGTTATAAAATTTTTGTTTTTTTTTTTGGTGGGACTGGGTTTGAACTCAGGGCTTCATGCTTGCAAAGCAGGTGCTCTATCGCTTGAGCCAACACCTCCAGTCAATTTTGCTCTGGTTATTTTGGAGATGGGGTCTTGAGAACTATTTTGCCTGGGCTGACCTTGAACCATGATCCTTTTGCTCTCAGCCTCCCAAGTAACTAGGATTTCAGGCGCGAACCCTTGGTGCGTGGCTAAAATTTTATAATTAAAAAAAATTATAGAGTGGTAGTAGCCAGGAATTATTGGTTACGAGGTTAGAGAGATGAGTGTGATCTTAACCTCTAGTTAGTTTAACTAATTGTTAACTAAGTTGGGGTCACACAGCTAGAGGCATTGTGATAGAGACCTCCTTCCTGCAAACCCATTCTGCAGTGGCCATTATTGAATGTGTATTGTATATAGAAACCTGAGCACCTCTTTACTGTATATAGAAGGAGAACTGATTGAGTGTAGGGTGTGTGCATTTAAAACTTTACAAACTGGCCTCAAATGGGTGTTTCAATGTAAATACCCATGTTTTTAGTGGTGGGTCCCCCATAGAGTTTCTTACTCCACATTCTCCTAGATATTTTCTTTTCCTTTTTTTTTTTGTGGTACTAGGGTTTGAATTCAGGGCCTTGCACTTGCTAGGCAGGTGCTCTACCACTTGAGCCCTCTCTATAAGTATTTCAATGCTTTGCATTGTTTTTTGTTTTTTTTGGCTAATGAAATGGGTAACATGTTGTATTTCATTCTTGGTTTAAATGTCTTTTTGCCTTTCCTGATCATGATGTTTACCAGCCATTGCATCTGTTAGAATCATCTGTTCATGAGATATGCTTCATTATCTCTTGCTTTGTAAGAGTTCCTATTTTTCTTCTCCTACTCATATTCTTCAATAATAGAATCTCAGTTTTGCACAGGGTGATAGGATCTCAGTCAGAAAATAGAGCTTCCCAGCTTCTTAGTGGTGAGGGCCAGTGACAGAATCGGAAGTCTGTTGTGCATTTCTAGGGAAATTTTGCTTTATTGACAGAGGCACCCTGCTGATTTTCCTTTGTCTTTTTTACTGTCTGGAATATGGTAGAGAGGTATCTAGTTACAGTTAGGATGGAATCAAAAATGAGAGGAGAGGAAAAAGAGGGTGAAAGAGACTGAGTAGTTGCTCTAGGGCTGAGGATGTAGCTAAGTTGGTAGAGGGCCTGCCCACCAAACACAGGCCCCAAGTTCAAACTCCAGTATGGCCAAGAAGGGGGTTGGTACAAAAACAACTGGTTCAGAGTAGCTGCTATAGATCTGGATCACCTACCCTGGACCCCATGTTTAGTGAGAAAAGCACTCTTTTGTGTGATAAAGCATCTCTATAAGTTAGATTTCTTTTGTGACCAGTGGACAGAATTCTAATTTACATGACTATCTATTAATTTCTCTTAGATCCTAATGGATCACTGAGCTTTCTGGCTATCAACAGCAGTTCATATATATCATATGATCAGGTTTTTATTGCTTGTTTTTTTAGACAAAAGGTCATGGTAAAATTTGCAGAGCAAAGGATAAGCACAGTGTTCTCTCTTTTTTTAAATTTTTCTATTATTCATATGTGCATCACAGTGTACTCTTAAACTATTAATTTCTCTTAAGGTTTAAAAGTGAGTTTGGTCTATGTCTCTTTCTTCATTTTAATCTTTGGTTTTGTCTTCAAGATGATCCTAATTCTATGGCATGATTTATGGTTTTAAACAGTGGTAGCTTGTTCTTCCAGTATTTTCTGGAAAATTAAAAAAATATACTTAAACTCTTAAGATTTTGTCAAGACTTAACCATATGTTTATTTGGACCTGGACCCTGATTTACGCAAACATAACTATGAGAACATGCTTGGAGACAATCAAGGGAGTTTGAATAGAAAATGGGTATTTGGTAATAGAGAGTTACTCTTAATTCTGCTAGGTATGAACTGAAAAGACAGATACTTTTTAAAAAGTCCTAATCATTTAGCATGCAATTATTATTGGCCTAAAAATATGGTGTGTGTGTGTGTGTGTGTGCGCGCGCACGCACGCACACTGGTATGTTTGTGTGTGTGACCAGTTGCAGAGGGAAGTTGGATGTAGCAGGTAGATGAAACAAGACTGGCAAATGTTACTTTGTGAAGTTTGTGTTACTTATACCATTTTCCTATGTTTTTATATGGCTGAACATTTCTATGAAGGTTACAAATGAAAGTAATTAAAAGGGTGCTGGTGGTTCATGTCTGTAATCCTAGCCACCTGGGAGGCTGAGATTGGGAAGATCATGGTTCAAGGGCAGCCTGAGAGAATAGTTTGTGAGGTAAACTCTAGGATCAGGGAACAAAATCAATGGTTGCCAGGGGTTGGGGTTGACTACAAAGAGGAACTGTCAAGGGTGCTGGATCTGCTCTGTATCTTCACTATGGTTGTGAATATATTGCTGTGCATTTGCAAAACATATAGAATACATACTGGGGGGGCTTTAATGTATTTAACTTGTATTTCACTTAAAAAGAAAAAATTGTGGTTGAACATAAAATCTAGCACAGAGTTTCTTGGAAGCCAATAAAAAGAAGATGTGTTAAGTTACAGATTTATTTAGGGGGAAAATTCCAATTCCTAAGTGTGAATAAAGGTATTTCTATTTTGGAAATTGAAGATAATTTCTATCTTGGGGCATTGCATAGGAGTTAAGTGGTAAGCTGGTTAAAGTAAATAATAATTTCAAAGTAAACACAAAAACAGAATTCACATGACTCTCATACAAATGGTGACTGTACCTGGAGACCATCAGATGGACAATCCATACAGTGGCTGTAGAGGGTGACCATCTAGGAGTCAGCTTTGGTGAATTCACCATGTTGAGAACACAACTTGTACTTACATTCTCATAAATGTCTTGACGTCATTTCAGAACTGAATGTGTTCATCCCACTGCCACCTCACATGCCGACATCTTTATTTTTGTCCAGAAACCTAACCATCCTGTGAGTTGGGGAGTGGTATCCTTGGGCCAACATGTCTCTTCCCAGTTGGACGAGGCATGGTATGGGTGATGGGCCATCAACTCATAGATATGATTAGAATCTTGCTCTGCATCTGATGAACCATGTGTAACGTTAGGTAAATTACTTAACTTTCCACAGGCGTCAGTTTCTTATCCTAAACATGGGCGTAATCTCTCTTATAAGGTTGCTGTAGGGCAAATAAATGAATTTTTTAATTAGCCCAGTAGCTGGGAATATAATACTTTTTAGTAAGAGTTTATTTATTTTTTTTTTGCTAGATCCAGTTACTCAGGAAGCAAATTTACAGATAGGTGGCTGATGAACAATGGGTTTTCTGAATTATTCTCCTCCACATAGTAATCAGAAAAATTAAAAAAACAAACAAACAAACAAAACCAAACCCAAATCCAATAACTTCCCTGCTTAAACTCTTTAAAGGTTTCTCATTCACTTGGAAACTCATTGCCACGGTCTCTAGGCCTACATCCGTGGTTCCCATGTGGAGTTGCCTCTCCACTGTATGGGGTGTGCTGTTGGGTGAGATTGAGATCTCTGAGTCCAGGCCCATCAGATTGCTTGATTTCCCTAGTTTACTCCCTCCCACAGGGTGGTTTACTGCTGGGTAGGATGTGAAAGACTGGAGACCAGCAGGCAGAGTGAGACATTCCATCAGCTCTCCCTGTCCAGTGCATATCTCAGCGCTCTGTTTGCTTATACACTCTCTGCCACACTTGGGGACCACCCCTAGTTGTGGACATTTGCCACCCAAGGGTGGCAAACTAGGAGGCCTCTGAAGGAGTGGGAAACACCCAGTCCACAGGCTGCAAAGCACACTTGTACCAGCAAGTTCTTTCTTGAATGACCATTCTCTCTCAAGTCATTCCCAGGTATATGATGAGGGCAGAATAACCTTCTGGAAATTCACCTATGCCCTGATGGATTGGTTGGGAATATGTGATAGGACTTAAGGTACATTTGGTCAGGATCTTTACTAATCGTTGAGTCAGGAAACACTCAGAGCCATGCATGATGCACCTCTTCCTCATGGAATTTGCAGTGGTATCAACACAATTTTGGAAGACTAGAAGTCATGTCTTCACTTCTCTGATTCTTTTTGAGATGCAGGCCCACTCTCCAGGGCTGATGGATATTCTGGAAGAGTGGAGTCTGCATATCACAATATCATCACTGGGGGAAAAATAAGAGAGAAGTGCAGGATTAAGTAGAAGCCATTTTTATGATTTTCCTTTTATTAATTTCTCTGGGTAAAGTCATTTTTGTGTGTTTGTTATTTGGTTTATTTACTTTTTTTTGACAGCACTGAGGTTTGAACTCAGGGCCTCATGCTTGTAGGCAGGTGCTGTACCACTTGAGCCACTCTGTCAGTCCTTGATTTGGTTTTTACTCTAGTTTCAAAAAGGAAGAAAAATTGTAAGGCACAAAGGACCCTCTAGAAGTCACCTATATCATCCTCATCCTTCTATGGGAAAATCTTCACTGGAAAACAGGTCTTTGACCCTTTTGGGAACTTCCATTGACTTAGTCTTAGCTATTTACTCAAAGGTGACTTGAATCATCTGTATTTTTATGCCAGATGTGCTATGTGGAGTCTATTGTAGCTGTCAGCACCATTAGTGGGCTTTGGCTGAGTGTAGTCATGACACCCATGGGACAGAGACCTCATCTGCAACTTACTGCTCTGAGTTCTCCAACCTCTTCCTCTTACATAGACTCAGAGAGTCTGTTCTAATGCTCCCCAGACAAGCAACACATGAGGGCAGCTGGATCACCCCAAGCAGGATGGTTTTTGTTTTGGGTTTCACCACAGTGTTAGGAGAATAAGTGCCCTGCATACAGTAATAAACTCCAACATCCTCAACCTCCACGCTACTGATTTTGAGTGTGAAATCTGTCCCTGACCCGCTGCCACTGAATTTGTCTGGGATCCCAGAGTCACGGTTGGAAATCTTATAAATCAGGCGCTGTGGAGACTGGCCTGGCTTGTGTACAAGCCAATTCAAGTAGGTATTTCCATCACTATTTAGGAGGCTCTGATTCGACCTGCAAGAGATGGAGGCTGGCTCTCCAGAGGTAATGAGCAGAGAGAGTGGTGTCTGGATCATCTCAATATCTCCAGTGGACCCTAAAATAATGAGACAAATGCAAGGTCATGCACAATAATTTTCAACTGGTTTAATAATTTTCCTCTTTTTGTATATTTCAGCCTAAATTGTTGTGATTTTTTAATTTACACACCCGAAATTTTGATTTTAAATAAAGACCCAAGATTTACAAGACACAAAGGGCCCTCTAGGATCTGTTACACATTCTCACTCTCTCTATGTAACATTCTTCAGCAGAATCTAGGTCCTGCTACTTGTGGAATCTTCCTGATGGATCTAAATGGCACCTGCCAGTTTGGAGCATAAGACCTGCACGTCTCACGCATGGACAGAGCACACGATGGAAGCCGGGGACTCCCAGGCTCACCCTCCCACCCCATTCCTCTTTCTCATCTCCCTCTGCCCTTACCAGGGATCCAGAGCATTAGCAGCCCCAGGAACTGAGCAAGGCACCTCATTTTGAGTCGTTCAACTAAGGAAGCCTATGACAGCACAAGGTTATAGCTGAACTTTTATCTGAGATTTGCAAAGGGAGGTCCTCCCTAGGGACAATATGCAAATTGCATGGTGCATGTAATGATATGGAAAGACTTAAGGGCAGAGTAGGTAGTGTCTTAGGTGAAACAAATGATTTCTGTGTTGGGGGAAAACTAATAGAGATAAAGCCATGCTCCCTGAAACAACGGGCAGAAAGACCCCACTCTGAAAGTTTGCAGTGCACATGGACCTAAGGCAGCATCAAGGACCTAATGACTTGGAGGTGTGGCTGTTGCCAATCTCTGCGAAGGGAACAGCCACCCTGCTTTTCTTTCTCCCAACTGACGAAGATAAGAAAATGACTCTCACCTCCCCAGTACTGATTTTCTGAGTTGAACTAGTTTAAGAGCTTCTGGTATCTGCTGTTACTAGGTAAACTAAGAATGTTATAAACAAGAATTAGAAATAATCTTTTTTTTGGGGGATCCTAGTGAATTAAACTCTATATGACTCAAGTGAAAAGAACTTGGCAAGGAGAGAAAAAGAATCTCTGTTTCAATTAGAGACCTAATTGCCCAGTTCAAGATGAGGAAAAGGGGAAAAATTTGTACCTTTAGTAGTAAATAGAAAATTCCTATTATTTAGCTTTTATGAACTAGTTAATATACTGTCATAATTCTCTCTCTCTCTTCCCCCATATCTATCTCTATCTATCTATCTATCTATCTATCTATCTATCTATCTATCTATCATCTATCTCTATCTATCATCTATCTATCTATCTATCTATCTATCTATCTATCTATCTATCTATCTATCTATCTATCTATATCTATCTATCTCTATTTATCTCTCTCTCTCTATATATATATATGTAACATACGTGAGACCCAGGAAGAACCTACATTCTTGGCCTTGGAAATTGGGAGCTTCCTCAATCAACATACTGTTTGGCTCTCTCATATTGTGGTATCCTAGCACTTCCTAGGTGAACTTTGAATCAGATTATAAGAATTTATTTTAGCTTTTAAACCTGAGCAACGATTTCACGAAATTATCTGTTTAAAGCAAAGAAAAGGGGAGACCATATTGGTTAAACAGAAAAATTAATATGCTCATTTGGTTGTCAATCATATTTCTGATTTTATGCTAAAAGTTCAAAATTAGTTAAATAATTTTGCTTTGGTTAGAAAATACCCTGAGTTGACAATTCTATCCAATTGACTAATGACATTTTAATTTTGTTATTATCTCTAAGTTGTATAACAGGGTTTATTGTGATATTTCCATACATGTAAATAATGTATTTTTATCATATTCACCTCAAGTTACTCTTTCTTATTCCTTTGTATTCTCCCCTTTTTTTGACAATTTTAAAATGCATTTTCAAAAATGCATATAATGTACTCTGATCACATTCATTCCTCCATCAACAGTCTCCTTTTTCTTTCCCCTCTCTCTAATTCCCCCTAAAGTCCCCATTTTACCTTCATGTCCTTATTTTATTTTATTTTTTGATAGTATTGGGGCTTGAACTCAGGGCCTCATGCTTGCTAGTCTTGCTAGGCAGGTGCTCTATCCCTTGAGTCACTCCACCAGCTATGTCCTTATTTTTGTTTTGATTATTTTTAGATTTTGTTTTGAGTTTTTTCTAGATTATGCATATGAAAGAAAGCAAGTGATATTTGTCCAAGTCTCACTTATTTTGATTACCTTGATGATCTCTAGTTCCATCAATTTTCTGTAAATGACATAATTTTATTCTTCTTTATGGCTGAATAATACTCCATTGTATATATATGGCACATTTTCTGTATCCATTCATCTGTTGATGGGCACTTAGGCTGATTCCATAACTTGGTTATTGTGAATTCTATTGCAATAACATGGATATACAGGAATCTATTTTACTTAATAATTTGAGTAGTATTTCTTTAAATATCAGGTAGAATTCAGTGGTGAATCTCTTTGTTCCTGGGATTTTCTTTATTGGGAACTATTACTGCTTCAATCTCATTGCTTGTTATAGATCTGTTTAAGTGATTGGTATTCCCTTGGTTCAATTTTGATAGGTCATATGTATATAGAAATTTATCTCTTTCTTCTAGGTTTTTCTGTCTATTGGAATGTAAGTTTTTGAAATATTTCCTAATCATTCTTATATTCATCATTATATACCCTTTTCCAACTCTAATCTTATTAATTTTGGTCTTCTTTTTTTTTGGTTAGTTTGGCTAAGGGTTTGTCAATCTTGTTTATCTTTTTAAATAAGCAACTTTGTGTTTCATTTATTCTTTGTACTGTTTTCTTAGTCCCATTTTATTAATTTCTGCCCTGATCTTTATTGTTTCTTTCTGTCTACTGATTTAGGGTTTGGCTTGTTTTTGTTTTCTGAGTTTGAAGTTCATAATTATGTTATTTTTTTGAGATCTCTGTTTTTTTATGGTATCATAATGTGAAGTCAGGCCTTGTGCTTGCTAGGCAGGCCTTCTACCACTTGAGCCACACCCCAGCTTTTTTTCTTTCAGGTTATTTTTCAGATAGGGTCTCACTTTTTGCCTGAGGCTGGTCTTTGACCTAGATCCTACTACCTGTGGTCTCTTATGTAGCTGGGATCACAGTATGCACCATCATGCCTGACTTACTGATTGAGATGGGCTCTCTCCAATTTTTTTCTGAGCTAGTTTTGAACTGTGATCCTCCTCCTTTTCTCTGCTTCCTGAGTAGATGGGATTACAGAAGTGAGCTACAGTGCCTGATCCTTCTGGGTTTTTTTTTTTTGGTGGTGGTGCTGGGATTTGAACCCAGGATCTCACACATGCTGGGCAAGTGCTTTACCACTGAACTTCAGTGACAGCCCCATTTTGATTTTTTTAATGTAGGCATTCAAAGCTATAAGCTTTATTCTTAGTACTACCATTGTTGTGGCCCAAAGGTTCTGGTAAGTTGTGTTTTCATTTTCATTTGATTCTAGGAATTTTTGATGTCTACCCTAAATTTCTTCAGTGACCCACCGATGATTCAAAAGTGATTGCTTGGTCTCCATATATTTCTTGTGGTTTCTCTTGCTGTTGAGTTCTAGTTTTATTCCACGGTGGTCCAATAAAATATTTTTAGACTGGAACTGCTCTGAGCCCATGCTTAGATTGGGGTCCTGTAGGATTCCCCACAGAGTGAATGTGAGGCCTGTCTTTGAGGTTCTAGCCCATGTATAGAGGGGAACTAGAGTTCAGATGTTTACAGTGTTGTTCAATGATGTTGTGATAAGAGTGGGACATATTTTGGTCACAGATAATAAAATATTTGTCCAAAGATGTCATCCAAGTATTTGTCCAAATATTCATCTTTTCCTTTCTACTTTTACTCTCCTTGTACTTCCCTCCCTTTCTTCCTTCTTCTCTCTTCCTTTTTGCATTCCTTTCTCTTTCTCCCTTTTTCCTTGTTTCTTTTGTTGATGCTGTATTTCTAGCATGTTTTATTATTTCACCAGGATTAATGATATTGGGTACCTAGCCTATCATTTCGGTAAAACTCAAACCATTTAAGTTTGACTTAAAACTGTAGCCCTTCTATTATTTTTATTTGTGGGGTGTTGAGATAGGATTTCTCTAAGTAATCCAGGATGGGTTTGAACATGTGATCATCTTCCCTTAGCCTCCTAAAGCCTTTCTTTTGATTACCTGGTGGTTTGTGGTTTTAGGACTTTCAAATTGATCTTAGAGTGTCTAAGTTTACTTCTGTGTCTTTTCTTGTTGTTTCCTTTGGATTTACATTAGATAAGTTTACACACTGTGCAGGCAATTTGCTTTCTTATTTTCAGATTGCTTTGCATAGCCCCTCAGGCTCAGTCCAGCTGGTCACAATTTATAAACGTGGCCTTTGCAGTGAGAACTGAGCTGCATCAGACAGGCAGGGGCAGCAAGATGGTGTCACAGACCCTGGTCTTCATGTCCCTGTAGCTCTGGGTCTCTGGTGAGAAACTTCAGTGCTTCAGTTCCTTCAGAATAATAGTTCGTGTAGTTAAAAAATGACTTTAAGACACAGTGGGAAATAATGGCTATTTTCAATATGAACCAAATTGTGTGCTGACTTATAATACCAGTATTATATTTAAATACTATATGTCAATGTGTATATGATAAAGTCCATGTGTGTGGATATATGGATGATCATTATGCATTCCTGATTGCAGGTGTCTGTGGGGACATCATGATGACTCAGTCTCCAGGCTTCCTGGTTGTGTCAGCAGGAGGCGGTCACTAGGAACTATAAGTCCAGTCAGAGCATCAGTAATATGTAGCCTGGTACCAGAAAAAAACAGGACAGATAACTAAACTCATTTACTGGACATCCATGTGGGTATCTGGAGTCCTTGACTGCTTCAGAGGCAGTGGGTCTGGCACAGATTTCACTCTCACCATCAGCAGCCTCCAGGCTGAAGACATGGGAGATTACTACTGTCAGCAGAAGTATGATGATCTCCCCACAGTGCTCAGCTTTGAGCACAAAGTTTCTCCAAAACTCAGCAGCTGCTTTTACTCCTTACAGCCATGTGCTTGCGTACTTCCTCCATCAACCTGAGAGCCTGAGTGTCCATGATTATTGATGAGAAGACCTGCAGTGCTCAACAGAAAACAAAGGGGCTCAAAGTGTCTCTTAAATCCTTTAGCGTGGAAGATCCCTATAGGAAAGTGCAGGAAGGACTCTTTCTATCAGTTTTTTATTTTTTCTGAAACAATTTACAGAGTTTGTGACCTCTGTGACTTGATGCTGAGAAATTGATAATTTCATAGTCTGAAGGTCAGAAGTCCAACACAGGACTCAATGGGTTAAATCAAGATGTTAGTAGGCTGCATTTTCATTTAGAGGCTGTCGGGAGACTATCTCTTGGCCTTTTCAGCTCTTAAAGGTTACCTGCATTCCTTAGGAGGTGGCCTGTTTCTTTCATCTTCAGAGGAAGCAACAACATATCAGCTCTGAC